ACCTATGTACATTAGGCATTATCTAATTTATTGATAATGCAATAAAGTACCTGAAAATTATATTGATTTTTATTTCTTACTTAGTACCTGCTGTGGAAGTTTAACTGGTACATATATGTACCATGGTGTTATTATCATAGATATATGTAAAAGGTCTTTACAAAAACATACCACATACACCTTAGACCAAAATAAGTCGATTTAAGTAAAATTACCTTAGTACAAAGTTGCTTCGTTTGGGCTCCAGAGGGCCTTGAAGTTACAATTTTTAAATCGTTTTTCCCATATAAATTAAAACGACATATGCGATTTTGCTGAAATTTGGTACAGTGGTAGAGTTTTATGTGGCAAAAAAAATGGAATTAAAATTTTGTCCGATAATAATACATAGGCGTAGAACTTGATTTTTTAAATAATGGCACCTTTAAAAATTCTACGCCAATGAAAGAAAAGGAGTTTGAGTATAAAATTTAGATTGCGCAACTCATTTACTTTAAAAAAGGTACTCTTGATAAGACTCGATTACTCTCATGGTTTTGACGAAATTTGCATTTTAGTAATTTTAGAACATAAACAATAATTATTAAAATACAAACTTTGTCAAAACCATGAGAGTAAATCGAGTGTTATCAAGGGTACTTTTTTGTAGTAAATGAGTACCCAATCTGTCTGGTATAGCCATTCAGTTTGGAATGCCTAATTAGGCATTCCAAACAAATGAATTGCCAGTGGAAGGTTTGGTATATCTAAGGGTGGCGACATACGGTGTATTCTATCTACTTTACGTAAAATCATGAATAATGGGATAACATTTAAATATTTTATGTCAAACACAATAAAAATAATATTTAAAAAACCCACCTATACATTTCTTCATAAATTGGCAGGCTTGGCGACTACTACTTCGAATAAAAATAGCGTCCCCGTTGCAAGATTATGTCGCTACCCCCTTAGATATACAAGAATTTCCCACTGGCACCTATTGTTTGACAGGTCGTTGGAATGCCTAATTGTGTGTTATACAACCAATTTCCAGTCTTTGAATATATTAAAAAAATAATTACATACATTTTTACTTCAAGGCATAAGCTTATATTTTTTTTTAAATATGGATGGTCAATCTATATAACTATCTATATCATTAACCCTGTTAAATCACCAGGCTATGGGAGGGTAGAGGAAAGGAGAACAATCTCTGTATACAAAAAGTGTCCCTCAAAATGTATACAATTAAGATGGCGCTTCTGTGCCAGGGGACGTCGACAGTCGATAATTGAGATCACACAATGACACCAATGATGTATATAGTAATAAATATTGCTCAACCATAAAAAACTAAAAACTGCACCGTGAAAAGTGACTGATCGTAGAAGAGTAAGTGTTCTGTGATCGTAGATAAAATTTTGACAATACACAACAATAGTCAAATTTTATTGAAAAATAATAATATAAACAATAAATAATTCTTATATTAAAATGGCACGGAGGCCCCAATTTACTGCTTCCTGTCTGATTTCATTATGAATGAACAATCTATATGACTGTATAGCATTGGATTTTGTCCCCTGGCTACACGAGCGCCATCTTAATTGTATACATTTTGGTGGCCACTTTTTAGTATAAAGATCCATATAAGATTGTCCTCCTTTTCTCTACCCTCCATACACCAGGCCAACAGTGTTGACAAATCATAATCTATCATGTGTCTGTCAGTAGCCTGTCATTATCTACCACTGGATAGCTATTCACTAAGTCATGGGAGCGCTCCCATATATTTTGCTCTCTTATTCTTAGGTGGGTATATCGTGCTTACTCACTTTTAGCCCTGGTACATGCGTAGTAAGGTCAGATTTTATACCATTTTATACAGAAGCGGATGATTAAAACGCACCTATCAAAAATATTGCGCCAAGATGTAGGCAACACGTAATAAGGGTTCAAAATGGCGGAGTTTTCTATCTCCTTTTAAAAGGCACTCAGAAAGCTGCGCAGTGCGACCATTCTCCGTATAGTAAAAGAAAATCAAAGTATGTGGAGTGCTCCCATGAGTTAGAGAATAGGTATCCTGAACTATATATTAAACTGGAAGAACAAAGCCGATCAACAAAATCAAGCTACATAGCGAGGTGATATTTGACACTATGGCGGCAACACGTGCCTATTCAAATGCACTAAAATGGAACATCAAAATTAAATTTAACACTTATTACATTCAACTACGACACTTTTTAAGTCAAGAAAATTACTTAAAAATAATTTTTGATTAATACGCAGCTGAAACAAATTTATTGTTCCAACAATAATAATTATTAAAATAGCGCGTTATTAACAAAAAATAATATAACTTATCGTAGTACGCCCGTGGAAAACGTGACGTAGAATGTTTGAAATTGACAATGTGGCGTCCAAATTGTCATGCGCACCGACTGTTTTTTCCACCCGTCTGCTTAGAAATTTGAAGTAGGGTTAATGTCATATAGCCATCCAGTTTAATATCAAGGTCGGTGTTACCTACGGGTAAACATTGTTTGGCATGCCTAATTAGGCATTCCAACGACCTGTCCAAATGGCTACCAGTGGGTAATGACAGTTTAGATATGGCAACCCTGTTGTCATGCTGTCATTAACAGGGTCAATGATACATATATGGTTATATAGATTGCTCAAAGCTGGTCGTTTACGAGCGGCCATATTGCCTGTCAAATATTTATTAATTTGAAACAGTTTAGCAAAAATGTGTTTTAAAACCAATTTTTAGCCTTTTGATATTTAAAAAAAAAATAATTGCTTACATTTTTACTTCAAGGCATAAGCTTATGTTTATTTTGAAAAATATGGATGATTAATCTATGTAACTATCTAATTCATTGACCTTGTCAAATCACCAGGCCTACAGGGTTGCCATAATTTTGCCATATCATAACCCGTCAAAACCCACTGGTAGCCATTCAGTTTGGAATGTCTAATAAAATAACTACATCACCCATATTCTTCTTACAAATCGGAAATTCTTCATTAAGCGTTGGCCTTTTACAACATAACCCGTTTAGTAATCTTTTGTGTCATGTTTAGAAACATTTTCAGTAAAATGTTTCACAAAAATATTTCAGAAACTTGTGCTAGAAATGTTATATGTTTAAAACTTTTGAAATATTTCTGAAACACTTGTGAAATAATGTGTGCTGTATCTATGGGTATACACCACAAACTAAAAATACGTTACCAATTTAACAATGTTAAAAGGTCAAAATACTGCTACGAGAAAGACTTCTTTTTATTCCATACCAAAATAAAAATTATTATTAAATGAAGGAATTGATAAATCGGTAATTTCCGAAAACTAGGATATGCATTTTTGAAAAAAATGACACAAAATCCTATGAAATTTATTCCTTGAACCCTTTGCCCCTAAGCCTGTCCGTTTACAAATATTTGGTCCCTTTAAGCCAGCCATACTCAACCTGCGGCCCTCCAAGTTTTATGTGCGGCCCTCCAAACTTTTTTGTGTAGCCCCAGACACTATTATTAGGAATTGAAATGGTTGACCTACAGTCCTTTTTTGAAATACATTGTCCTTGCGACTTTTCAAAGCTTATTAAAACAACTAAAACAAAATGAGGACTTAAAACGGATCCCTATCGTCGTCACCAATTGTCCTTTATTTACATTTCAAAAAGGTGGCTACTCTGGTTATAATCCAAAAATATTGTGGCCCGTGTAGCATAACAAACAGATTTATGTGGCCCGAAAAAAAAAAAGGTTGAGTACAGCTGCTTTAAGCCTTCCATGTAAAAATAATATTTACTTTTTGTTCTTATATGAAATTCAGATACGAAGTGCCATTCTGGAGTTCTTTAAAGATCGTGTAAAAATTTTCGTTACTACGTACATCATATTTATGTTAATCCATAAGTCTATTTATGTAAAATATTTGGGCCCTTTACCCCTATTAAAAATTATTTGGGTCCTTTGTATATTAAACCTGCCTATGTAAAAATATTTGTACCCTTTGCCCCTTAAGCCTGCCCGTGTAAAAATATTTGGTCCCTCTAAGACTTCAATGTTAAAAAAATATGTGGGCAAAAAATTAAAATTTTAAAAAACTATTAGAGAATTGCCTATTTTTATGAAAAATCCAGTTTATTTAAACCATTGACTTTGTGATCAACTTATTTGGTATAAAAAACCACTTTAAATAATATTGAACATCAGTAAATATACAAAACTTGTTAAATTTTTAAAAAGGCGATCAGAAAACCGTAAACTTAATTATACTTTACTAAATAGGAAATATAGTTTGTTTTTATCTCTTATAAGAGGAACTAACGATAACATAGCAAAAATAAATGGCAACTTCGGTACGTATACCGCCATCTTTCAGTCAATACCTAAACTTCTATACTGTATATTACCTTCCTACAATGTCGCTAGAGGACGCAAATTTCTACATTGACGCATTGTCAGCATAAAATAAAGGTAAATAAACTGATAACACAACAGTGTATAAAAATAAAGTTAAAGTATCATGTTAACAGTTTAATCATTATGGTATAATATAATTACTGATAACAACCTTTAATAATAATTAATTCATGATTGGTGACGTTTTATGTTACGGTATAATTCCAGCGTTGTCTAGAATACATATGTCAAATGTTAAAATTTACAATAAGCCGATAATTTGAAATTATACTGCTGGTATCTAAATACTTGTCGTTGAACTGTCATGTAAATATATAATTTATAGATAATTTCAAAACACCTTCGAATAAGAATATTTTATTCTACAAATTCTAAATTTCAGATCAGTGTTAGACAGCAGAGCACGTGGCAACGCCGAAACTGTTTCTGCAAATACCAAGCAGGGTCGCCAAATATACAAAATTGAATTATTTTATAACCAATCAGCGACGAGTCAAGTATCCGACGTTGACGTTATTGACCAATAATAATGAGCCACACAAAACTGAAGGAAATCTTAAAATTGTCTTTTGACAGCTGTTTTTGATGGATAGGTGTATGTACTATGTATTAGAATTTCTGCTACACATGGAATATATATGACGTGGTTTTAAGAATATCTGTGTTATTTGAATTAGAATAAAATTAAACAGCTTTAATACTATTTTTGATACGTGGTAAGTACAATGTTTTATAATTCATAAATATTCAAGTTTTTATTGGTTTTTGCGGTAACCTGTAAGTTTGACAGTGGTTTCAAAAGTACTATAATTTATATTTTAGAAGAATAACTAATACTCTAAGTAGTAATACATATAAATTGTGTCTATTGATTGAGTTATTGACTCAAAAATTCTGTATTTTTAGTTGTATCAAAAATTGTCATTCATGAGAAAGGATTTTAAGTTTTACTTGTTCCAATATCCCATAAAATATAAAAATAAATGTATATTTTAAATTATCTACTTTATTTTAAAACACTATATGTGGGCAACCACTTGAATCTTTACATTAAGTTCAAAAATGTAGCAATAATATGGTGGGGTCACTTTTTAAGTGGGGTCACATTTAAAGTTGTTTTTAAAACACAGTGATGTGCAGCTACTTTTGAGATACTTGTAGGTTGATTAAAAGAGACTTATTTACATGTAAATTAAATGAGAATTACCAGTAACTATTTGAAACGACCACTACCAATTTTAAAGCTTGTATATTGCATTTTGCATTGCTATGGGGCAAGCCACTTATTTTTGAATACATACTCTCTGAAAAAGGTTTAATTGGTTTCATATTAAAGACATTTAATTCAGTGAACACTCCTCTAAACACTTTGAATGGTCATGTACATTTTCCATCTTTTCTCTATCATAATGTCTTATTTACATTTCTTGATTTAACTTTTCCTAAGGCATGAAGAATACTCTAACGAATATGTCAATATTTTATATGAATTTGGTTACCTAATAAATGGCCCATTACAGAAAACACAAAAATTTATATTGATCACATTTTTATTAAATTGTATTACAATATTACTGTAGGCTGACTATACATACAGCATTTCGCTGTATTGTACAGCATTTTCAAAGTATGTCCAGCAGCATTTGATCTTGGACAGCAAATGAACAGCAAACCCCCATAAATGTAACACATGACTTCTCTGTTTGTTTGTATTTATCTTTGGGGAGCTAGAAAAAAGGTTCTCATCTCTCCAAAATTCATCAAAGTTGTATTTGCATTCAGCGTTCTGCATTGGGTCAAAATAAGTATGGTTACCCTATATTACTGACAAAATAATGCTCTTTATGGTGCAAACAGATATAACTGTATATCTTTATAACAGTTTTACAATTTACTCTTTAAGGTACAATAAAAACAAAACCATAAGATTAAAAAATTCATTGATCAGAAAACACTTAAAACATATTTTAAATAATGTATCTTGGGATGATATATTGGCTACTAGGTAATTTGATTCTGCAACAAATAAATTCCTAGGGTTTTACATGGATACATAGAGAAAATATAACTTTTATATGCCAAAATTTAAGAATAATATATCAAGTTAAAAAAGATATTACCTACAGCCACATCAATGTAACATCTTGTATCACAGCTTAGTAGAAAGTCATTTGAGATATACCATGATTATGTGTTATTGAACCTCACAAACACATTTACAACCTTTTGCAGTTCTACAAAAGATATTCCTAAAAATAATACTTATAAGGGACTACAAGTACATATCCCTCAAACTCATTGTTGAAACAACTATGGATCTGATACAAATTTTTTATTATAATATTAATGTTAAATACCATTCAAATAAATATGTTTTTAACTTACTAGATCGTTCATATAACACTGATTCTCATACTCAGGAATTAGTAAGACAACAATCGTATTTGTATCTAGTTGACATAATGTAATATCTTGTCCATATTTAAAAAAACAAAATGTATCAAAAATATAAAATTGACTTACCTAATAACCAATATTATTTCAAAAACCTAATTGATTTTTCTTTGCCTTTTAAACCCACTTTAAAAAAAAGAGGAGATTCTTAATTTGTTAGAATATTTTTTTATGTATGTTCAGTGATAATACTGATAATTCTTTGTCACTTTGTCATATTTTTATGATTGTTTGAAAGGTGGTACCTTCGGGATGGTCCTATATAAATTTGGTCAAGATTTGATAGAGGCATCCATGAGAATATCATCAAATTCTTAATTTTTTTTATGAATTTTCAGAAATAAAACTTTAAGACATTGTCTGACTTGTTATTCTTTTTTGTTAGAAAGAGGGTAGCTCAGGTATGATCCTATACACTTCAATTTGCAAAGACATTTTTAAAATTATGTTCTTTTATATCTTGTATATATCAACCTTTTGGTTATATTATTTATTATGACACATTAATTATTATTGTATACATTTTTTTTCTTCTTTTTGTTCTCAAAACATGTGCCTTATTGGTACTTCTGATACATTAATTTTATATATTTATGCCTTTTTATATTTATATTTGTTCTCAAAACAAGTGGTATTGGAACTTATTGAGTAATAATATTTATTTGCAATAATTGTTATTAGTATCACTTTGTAATTTGTATTATAACTTAAATATATTTTATTATTAAATTAAGTCCTTCGACTGCATCACTTCATGGTATTGTTTATTACTGTGATGCATCTTATTTTCTATTTACTTTTTCATAATTCTATACCTAGTTTGATTACGAAAACATATTTTGCTAACTTACTAGTATAGGAAAAAAGTCAATTGTTTAAAAATCTTTCAAAAAATAAAATATTTTAAAGGAATAACCAGTCAATTAACAATTTTTCCAAATTATTTCACAAAAACAAGCTTTGTAACACAACCTTGATGATCTTCCAAAGATAGGTACATATTTTATTTGATAACTTTCTACATGAAAACTATTTTGCTTTTTTAGATTAGTATTATGGCTTTGGTAGTAACTACTGATTTAGCCAATCCCAGTATATTTTTATTTTATTTTCTTTAGTAATACGCGTTCTGTGTAGGCTTTCACAGCGCCACTTTAGTAACATTACTGTTAATTAGTACCCACCACTAAATGGTCGAGTGGGAGAATCTTACCTCTGCTTCAGAAATACTAAAAAAAAAAAAAAAATCCACAATGTATCAAATACGGTTTTGTCTAATTTACATGTCGATAAAATTAAATGTTGATCACCTTTAGGACTTTGTAAGAACCATTCACGAAACTGAACTTAATCTTCAAGTTGTAGTGCATGAACATGTTGAACGTGAAAGGGATGGAATTGATTTTCTCGCAATGTTGTTGACGCTTTTTCTTTGACTTGTTCCACTTTATCTGCAATATTCCGCTATAAAATTTAAAATATGTTCATCTAAAGACACTTTTTAATTTTCCATAACTACTCAACAATTATTCACTAAAACTATTAAAATGGGACACTCAACTGAATTACAATAACCAGTTTACAGTAAATTGTGATTCATACATAAAAAATCAACAAAAAAAGGATAAAAACATAAATGGCCCAACTTTTAATACAAATCGGCTCGGATTTAGTTCAGGCTCGAATTTAAATTATTTTATTTTGTTTTATCTTATTTTTAATGTTTTTGAAAAAGTTGTTTGAACAAGTTGTTTATTTCAACGACTTCTATGCACAGTTAAAAAAGTATCAACTTAGGATTCACCCTGTATATTGAAATCAATAATGCAATCCCTAAACATCTGATATTCATTTACCTAGTATCTTTTTTTTGTAGAGTAAAATCCTTCAAATTAATTAGCAACTTCCTACAGAAATAAATCAATTATTAATGAAATAGAAAAATAAAACCTATATTTAAATTGTCCATACTTTTTAAATATTGTCGTGCGAGCTATTTTCAACCAGTCCGGCTCTGATATTTGCTTGCGCCGTTCAGCTGCTAGTTTGTGTTCCGCTTTCGCTGCCCGCCTTGAGACTCGAGAAGTTACTGGAATGTATAATAATTTTATTTATAACAACGTCCAAATTAGTCATTCATTTTTCATCAACATAATAACATAACATCAAAACCATAACAACACACTAATAACTAGAGGGCGGAATATATGCATCAAAATATGCGCATATATATGCATCGTTTTTACCAAAAATATGCAGTTATTTTGTCCAATTATGCCTAAATATGCAAATGCATATTTGTTAAAAATACTTAAAAAAAGTAGGGGGTGGGTAGCTCAGTGGTTAGTGCGTTGGCCTGTGGACTTAGGGGTCCCGGGTTCAAATTCCAGCTGGAACGCGATTTTTTAATTAAAAATTAATTCTGATGCCTAGCGAATATTTACACTTGACCATTCACTGTTGGGTTCTAATTAACATTGCTGTTCCTAATTTGGTACGCTATCAAAACCATTACACGAAAAAAAAAAACAAAAGAAAATATGTAATATAAAAATTTATTTAAAACGAACGAAACACAAAAACTAGTAGAAGTTAAGTATAGAATAGTATAAAAATATTAAATAGTAATATTATAATAGGAATTTATAATTAAATATTTTTCGAAATTTTCTATTAAAAATGTTTGTCTTCTGTCTGTACAAATATGTTTTGATATAGAAAAGGTCCTTTCAACATCTACCGAAGTAATAGGTCAATACCGTAATTTTGGAAGTAATGTACAGGGCCAACGTAAAACTTCTTTGGAAAATTTTCCCTCAAAAATGTTTTTCACTTCCCTTATTTCATTGAACCCTTCATTCTTTAATAAAGTTGTATTTAATTTTTTTCTAATCTTAAGGCCTATGTCACCAGGAACATTGTTACATTTATCGGAAACTGTTGCAATAAAATTTGTTGATTCAATTAAACTTAAATTTTTCTTTCCAATGAAGTTATTACATCAGGTAAAAAACTAAAATTAACCTTTATAAACACAAGTTGCTTAGGCACAAGGGGATTTTTTAACAATTCTTTACTTTGCACTACACATTGTGAATTGTCTTCTATATCCAAAATTAAATCCTTAATTGCTTCAAAATTTTCTGCATAGAATATAGCTGCTTTAATCCATGTCCCCCATCGCGTAATTACGGGTTCCGGGGGCAAACACACCCCTACCATTCTCTCTTTATACAACTGCACTCTTAAAGGGGCTTTTAAA